TGTTTTGAAGGATCTTGCTTATATTAAAGCAAACAGTATCTGTATCTATCCAGCTTAGCTATTTGCAGGACATTTATCCCTGCAGTGTCTGAGAGCCAAGCAGGATCATTAAGGGAAATGCTAACATGTTGAAATCCTAAATGAGAACTGCATTATGGGATAAGTTCAATTTCATATCATAGTGGGAAAACTACAACCTTGCTGTAGATGAATGGGGTATTGAAACCAAGCTGTATTAACTTTTTATGCTGTGATTATTTTTCCCCCTTTTAACTTTCTGTTTGTTAGAGACTTTAGATCTTGATGGGTTATAAAGCTTGAGGCGGGAGGGGGAAAAAGTTATATAATAAACCCAAGCAGCATCAGTAGATTGGAGAGCAAGAACAACCTGCCTCTCTGTGAGCTGCAGCTGATGAAGGGTACAAAAAGAAATGATTGACACCAGCATACAAACACACGCCCTGACTAGACACAGCAACATAGCTTAATCTCAAAGTTATATCCTGTGACGAGAGGAAAGAATACAGGCTTTAAAAGTAAACCATTTTGCAAACATAAACCCCCCATATATTGGAGCGAGCCCCTGGGGAGCAGCAGTGTGCCCCATGCCCCTCCTTTGCTCCCGCTCCCTGCAGATCCCGCTCCGCAGGCTGCAGGCAGGTTCAAACAAGGTCAAAGTGTCTGGCTTCTTGGCAGGAGCTGTCCTTTCTGCAAACTTAACAAATGGGATCCAGGTGCAGAAGATATTCTTTGCAAATATGTCCTCCATTGCGCCTGTAATGTTTTCCATTGCCGGGGCTGGAGCTCCCAGGTTGTATTAGTCCCTTGCTGATCAGAAAGGGGTTTGACAATGACCAGTTGCCAAGAGAAGGAACTTAATCAAATTAGAACACATAAAATTTCCGAAAAACATACTATGAATTCAGCACTACATGCAGCTGCCTAGAGCAGAGGTCTTGAGCACCCTGCCCATAGGCTGGAGTTTTATTTCTTTGTGGGCCATATGGCACATGAAGCTTGGAAACAGGCTTACTTTAGTAATAAAATGCTTCTCACCCACCTGGCTACAAAGCTAACCTCTAAAAGCAAGATAAGCATAACAGATAAAGAGTTCTCTTCCTTATGTGAAATGGGAGCTCTGGGAAAAATTAATTCCTTCCGACACTTTCTACCTTTGCACTGCACTGCACTGGGATGTTCACTCTGAAGTGTAATAAGGATATAAATATCTGTCAAAATTACCAGTTTTTGTCAAATGAACTAGGTAGAAGAAAGAAACATAAAGCTGGAAGAGAGAGACTTTCTAAATCAACAAATGTTGCTGGTAATAACCTTATTACAATATGACCAGTCAAGCTTAGTTTGAGTTGGGAAAAAAATAAAACCGCTGAAGGGAAAAGTGGGACTTGCTGATGGGAAGGAAATTTAGAAGCTAGAAAGTTAGGGCTGAAAGAAAGAAACAAGTAAGGGACAGGGAAAGGGGAAGAAAGAAGTAAAAAAAAAAAAAAAAAAAAAGAAGAAAAAATAGTGGGAGAAAGTACAAGGCTAACTAACAAAAGAAAAAAAAAGAGAAAAAATGGACAAAATACTTCTGAGGCATATTTTCTTGCTGATGGTGATCGGTATGACTTGAATGGCTGCTGATGACAGCTATGAGCCTTTTATTGTATATGAGACATATGCCAGCTCTGATTGTAGTATAACTTCCTCCGTAATGTCACTGCTGTTGTGTAACAGGTAATAAATTTTCATTTGATGATGTTTGCTTCCTGGGAACACTTGAGTTTTACTTGGGAATTACAAAAAAAGTGGTGTTTCATCTTGAGTTTTACTGAAAGCATTTTTTACCTGTACATTCAGAAACACAAATAGTGTATTTGCACAGTTAAGTGCAACACATGCAGGCTGTGTCTAGTTATGGACCACAAGCCCATAAGAGGCATTATTTCTCTTCCTGACTGAATGAATTACGCAGCTAGTCATTATGGGTCAAGCTCTGAATTGTACCACACTGCATTACTTCATCTCTGTGTTGTTCAGTCAAAGACACAAAAAAACTCACCATGGGATTTAGATGTCTACCCTACTCTATATTCAATTGAGATATTTGCAAGATGCAATTTAATTGGATTTTCATACTGGTTGGAGCTTAAAATCAAACTTCATTATTGGCTCACTCAAATGGCAAATACATGGAAAGTTGTGAGTGGCTTTGGATGGGATTAATGAACCTAATAAATTAGTCATCCAGCTGTGTTATGAAAACAATTTTTTTCTGGAATGTTTGCTTTCAACTTGCCAAGCAATGCTTCAGCTTTGTATGGTTTTGCAGCAATTTTCAGCAGAGCCTGGCAACAATACCTAACTCAATATTAGCTTTGTCCTATGCAGAATGGCTTGTAGGCTGGTCCCAGTAAGCTGACATTCCTTTGCAAATTGGTCAGGACTTAAAACTATCTTCTGTCACTGCCCCTCATTTCACATTAACCTTAACTGATGCCCAGAAGGACCTAACTGCAGGGCACTGGAAACAAATGTACCAGAAATCCATCCTTCCACAGTTTTACCACCAGGCATTAGATATATCAGAGATCATTCTATTTAATTTATGAGGTGTGAGAATCAAATAACCTATATAAAAATTTATGTTGTGTCTCTAGATGTCCAATCGAGATTGAAATATGTCTGGTTAACTTCCAAATAAATTGACTCCTCCAGAGTTTTCACTGAATTTTTCTCCCAGGCTAGAGTATGATTGAGTTTTATAGGTTTAACATTGTGAAGTAGCACCTTAGAGAGAGTAGAGTTGAGCCATTTGCCCATACCATAGGCATATGCTATTGTTTCAATACCAGTGAGGGGAACTCACTTTAGAGGGAGTTTATGATTCTGCTTTGCCTGTAATTACCGATTAAAATGGTACCATAGCAACATTTGAAGAGAATCAAGCCCAGCCTACTGAGGGATAGAGGTAATGTTGTGGGAGGTATTTTTGGATGCTTCTCAGCCAGCAGAAATTCAGTCATCATCTTCAGGTTAACTGGGATTGGCGAAAAGGAAACTTAATTACACTTTTGAGTCACGTTCTCCCAGACAGATGAATGGGATGTTGACACTTGTGCATCCATCCGGTCAGACACCCCTCTTATCAAAAACATAAGCAAAACATATATGAAAGCAAATTCAGGCACTCTCCTCCAGTGTACCTATTGCATGGAACCCTGCAAGCTGCTGGGACACGTGCTAAGGAATTGCCATCTTGGTGGGTCTTTCCTTGTGGCTGGGGTTGGTGCATCAGGCTGTGCCACACTTTCACACTTCTCCACTGCAGTGCTAGAGGTGGAGCTGAACATGGGACAACTTTGTCCATCCTGGAGAGGGGGACGTACGAATAGTCCCTCTGGGCATGGGTGTACGTTTCCCCTTTGGTACCTCCTTTTTGTTGCTGTTATATCATCATGCCTTGAAATGTGGGTGGTAGCTCCGGTTAAGGGTGTGTTATGGTTTAGCCCTGGCCAGCAACCAAGTGCCATGCAGCTGCTTGCTCACTCCCACAGCAGTGGGACTGGGAAAGAATTGAAAGACTGAAAAAGAGAAAACTTGTGGATTGACATAAAATCAGTTTAATAGGTAAAGCAAAAGCCATTCATGGAAGCAAAGCAAAACAAGGTTCAGTCACCTCCAGGAAAGCAGGGCTCCATCATACGTAATGGTTGCTTGGAAGACAAGTGGTATAACTCCAAACGTCCTGGCTTTTCTCCTTTTCTCTTTACTTTATATACTGAGCATGATGTCATGTGGCATGGAATATCTCTTTGGTCGGTTTGGTCAGCTGTCCATGTTGTGTCTTCTCCTAATTTCCCATCCAACCCCAGTCTCCTTACCACTGTGGCAGTAAAAGTAGAAAAGGCCTTGGCTCTGGGTAAGCCCTGCTCAGCAATAACAAAAACATCTCTGTATTATCAACCTTTTATTCATCACAAACCCAAAACATAGCCACAGCCCATGTTGGCCACTGGGAAGAAAATTTACTCTATCCCAGCCAAAAGCAGCACAGGGTAGAAAGCTGTATTTTTGCCTTGATGTGTGTATAATGTAGCTGAGCTGAGGACAATACATAGGAGAGCAGATCCAACACTAGCAATGCTTTAGGAGTGATAGGGACAGGAGATGTGTTGGTCAGGGGACAACTTCAACAAAGGGATTGGTTATGCAAATTCTGATCACCAGAGATTAAGCAGATATTAAGCAGAAGTCAATTGCAAATTCTTCAATATAGCTGAGCCTAAACCTGGCATTTTTAACACTCTTCACCCATCCATAAAAAACACTTGTGGTAATGTTAATCACACCTTACTAGTTGGCAAAGGAATCTGTGCAAAGACTGCACACAAGATTGTTTTTTTCTTCTAGAAGTGGCAAAAGCAAGATTGGAGAATTGGCAGAAGAACTGTGGTCTCACTACCCATTTTTTTTTACCTAAATTTTTTCCTTTACTCTGTTAAATCTGGGGCAGGACTTATGTTTTACACTCTAGGGAAGCAGCTTTGCCTTACCTTTCACATTGTGTACCATTTCAGGCTTTGACTTGATGATTGTCAAGAATTTGTAGGGTAGGCAAAACAGCAAAACAGAAACATCTAAATCTCTGATCTTTTTGTGAAAACTTACAACTGGCAGAAGGACTACGGTTCCTTGGGGCTGTTAAATCCTGTGGGAGCTCTTGAAAATTATAACAGATTTCAATGACTGTGTGTAGCAAATATGACCCATGATTCCACCTATGTTTTCCTTTAGTTTTTTTTTTTTCAATTCCTACCCCTCCACTTTGTTCCTTTCATCAGCTCTTTTTAATTTTGTCCTGCCCTTGATTTTTTCCTGGAATAATCTAGCTCTCTTGGGCTCAGTCTTCATTAAAAAGGAAAAAGAGTTATCTAACGTGTCTTACCTAACAGCCCTGTTTTTTCCAGTAAAGGTGAGAAAGGTGATTTTCTTTTCAGGCCTGCCAATTCTTGTCTTTTCTTCTGAGATTGCTCACCAGCATGGAGATGGCTTTGTGCGGTAAATTCCTCTTTCACCGTTCTGCTCAGAACTGGGTCATGACCACCATATTGTACCAAGGTTGTCGTGCAGCTATCCATTCAGAAAGATTTCCAGTGAAAACCAGCAATATTTTTTCCTTTGAAGTGTTGATAACAGCTATTGTTGGGTTCTTCCTGTCCTGGGTGAGTTTACATAAGTGATTGTGTATGTGTGTGAGATAGCAAAGGGAGAAGAAGCAGATGGAAGAGTAGTAGTAACTGGAGAGTGGATGAGTCCACAGCACATGGGTAAAGGAAATGCTGGGAGAAATAATTACTGCTGTAATCTGATTTGCTAATAATCCATTTATAAAACAGTTATGATATATACTTGTAGGAATGTGACTGATCATAACTACAAATAGTATTACTTCCTCCCCTCCCACTCTGTATTAAGGAACCTTAATTACTTGATGGCTCAAGACTGTGAGTGACTCATGCTACAAAAAGTCAGATGCTCACAGCGCATAATGGAGCTCTTGAAAAGCTTTTATAATGATGGCGGGCTTGCACTACCTCCCTCCCCTATATCCCTCTTTGCCAAAGAGTTATTAGGTAATTTAAAATAATTAAAAAGGAAATAATTAAAAGATTTTACACACACAGAAATAGCACTTGCAGCTAATTATGTAAGTCTATCACTTCTAACAGTGGAACACAGTTACCATTATCAGAGAATTGCTTTTGAATTGTGACGGATAATCCTCTGGTCCCATGTTACACTCTTGCAAGTGGGAACTGGTTGTCTAGGTTTTTACAGAATGAAAGAGGTGTATGGAGCCTGTGCTCTAGCCACAGCTCTGCCGTAAGAGTTTTCTGCTCATCTTTGTTCCCTGCAGATTTTTACCTAATTAAAACATAGCAGGGAATGAAAACTCCTCCATCTAATCTTAATGTGTTTGCACAGGGTGTTCTGCTAAACGGACAGGAGTTGCTGCATGCTTGCAACTCCCTGTAGGCTTGGGATGCCAGAGTAACTTCCTGATGGGGGACTATAGGCATGGGCCATATTAAATGAAGTAAATGACAAAATTATCCTGTGGGCTTGCAATCAGCAGCAATGTGGTGATAGGGGTATGAGGTAATAATTTATTTCATTGATCAGCAACATAGAGCTTTCATGTGGATTATAGCAGCTGCTTAACAGTGCAAAAAAAATTACATTGTAATTTTACCACAAGAAGATAATATCTTACCCAAATAAAGCCTTAGACACTTTAGGCATTCAGAATCTAATTATTCAGAGATAAAATTGGCCAAAAAAGTGAGACAAACCTCCTTATACCTTTGAAAAATACCAGTAATATATCACTACTGATAATCAGAATGCCACTAACACTGGATAGTCACTAATCCAAAGGATATGGTCAACCTGTGAAATAGCAGCCAAAAGTAAACATACTTTTCGGATCCCTTTTTATTTGTTTTTGACCTCTTCTCCTCATTTTCCAGTGACAAGGACTGGAGTCAAAGCCATCTTTTTGTGTCTGCGATGTCCTGATCCCTACAGATGTGAGGGAGCACCTGCCTGGACAGGCTGGGTAGCATCAGTTTTGGTGCCTTCTTCCTCTTACCTGCCTGTTCTTCATCCACGCCATGTAATGTATAAACCCATTGTGCAGGGACAGATATTACTTGAGAGACTGATTCACTGTAGAGGCTTAACAGGAGGTGGTGTGGAAGAAAGAGACTGGAAGGGTTGAGTAGTTTGGAGTACCTGTGTACTAGATGACATCAGCCTTTAGACTAGCGGGTAGGCATGGGGTTTCTCTGACTCCCTCCCCCACTGCGTAGATGACAAAACACATCAGCTTCTATCAGTGCTTTTCAGGCTATGGCAAATGAACCACAAACTTGTCCAAGAAGCCACAGACAGTGCTCTGTGAAGACATACTGAACAGGGTCTTTCACATCATTATTATATAGCTTTTTATTGCAAACTGAGAAGTGAAAGTTTCAGTTTTTCACTTGGCAAAAATACTGAGGATTTGCTTAAAACATAACTGGAGAATTTATTCCTTCTTGTTGATATATAAATTTCCCAACAGAGGGAATTGCCCAGATGCTAAGCGTGGATGGACACCTGCAGTATGCTTCACTTGGCAAACCGTGGAGCAAGCTTGGTCTGGATACCAGCTCTCCTTTGTCAAGGTCACTTCCCTAGTGGTATTTTCCAGAATCTTCCTGATGCCCTATAGAGGCACTGGAGAGTGTTTAAAGTAGAAAGTTCATTTAGCCACTCCATAATGGGCTCTAGAGAAGTTTGTATCTCTGTGTTCTTTGTCTGTAGATGAAACAGAGAGAAAGGAAACCAGCTTTTGTGAGCGCCTGCACAGTTTGCATATTTGGTTGTAATATGGGCTAACAGCAATTTCCTGACATATGAAATGCTTTTTGAGTTATGGAGAGATTGTGCTTTCTAAAAGCTAAGCATTATAATCATCATGCAGTACTTTAGGAGTGGTGTAAGAGAGGTTGTATTAAATACCATCATTAATGATCTAAAAGAAAAAAGTGAGAAGAACATGATTACAAAATTCAAAGGATATTGAATTAGGAGGACTAGAGAGAAAATGAGATAATAAAAAGAGACCTAAAGAGATTATAAAGGTAGGCGAGGGTTTTTACAGAAACTAAGATTCATCCTGGAAAACTGCAGGATAATAAATCTGAGGGAAAATAATTTGAAACACGTATCTCCAAGAGGAAGAAGGAACCTGGGAAGCAGTAATTCTGAAAGAAGTAAGATGATAATGGTTAGCCAACCAAGCCTGAATTTGCAATATCATAAAGTTGCAAAATGTCCAATATAATTTTCAGTTGCAAATGTCAAACTATCATGTCACAAGACCGATAATCTTTTTTGCAAACTGTTTATTGCAACTGAATGCAGAACACCTCAAGCAGTTTTCAGCTCTGAGAAGTGAGTTTTGATCTATTAAGTCACTGTGCAGTGTCCTCAGTAAAACTAATATCCATTTTAAATGTTTTGAGATATTTTCTGAGACTGGTGAGATTCTATTTTGTCCATGGTACCATGTCTGTCACACAGACCCACCATGGTTTTTAGCTGCTATCCACTCAGTTGTATGAAGCAATGTTGATAGCAACTATCACACACTTTCTTTTGCTCTTCCTCTTAAGGGAAAGGTTTGCATGTATGGTTGGAGGCTGAAGGAGAAAGAAGGGGAGGATGTTTGCCTATTATTTTACTGAAATGTGCAAAGAGCTGACACTGGCAATGGGTGGGTTGAAAATCTACCCTTCATTGGGAGTGGGCAGTGGGGAACAAGTGGTAGAATTTATGGTGGTTTAAATTAAAAAGTTTCATTCTGCAGCTGAGCTGGGCTAAGAGCACACAAGCAGGCTATTAGTATACCTTGTCTGAGGAGAGAAAACTCATAAATTTGTAGTAGTTGAAGACTTTTGCATTGCCCTCATTATACCCTCAGTTCCTTGGCCCTGGACCAGCAGCTCTGTGATACTTCCATTGAGCTACAGCAGAGCAGAAGACAGCAAAACTTGTTCCTGAAAAGTAACATGACCCCTTACATAGTCTGGGCTGAGATTACTGGGCATCATGTTGAAGCTGGTGCAGTAGACAGTGAGAAACCAGCACAGTAAGCAAAGGACAGTTTTGATATGTTCCCAGGAATGAATATTTCCAAGGAGGTACTCAGTGGATCAGCTGAGGAACTGTGTTGCTGCATTTGGTTCCCCCTGTATTTTTTTAAGCACTGAAGTTTTCAGACCCAGGTAGATTATATTTACAATCTCCCTATTAAATCATCATAAACTTTTAATGCTGGGAATATTACCTGTTCAAAAACCCAAATGTAAATAGCAAAGGTTTGGAGTGGTTATTGAAATTTCTGTCAGTGTGAATCATACCATCTTACCCAAGAAATAAGCTGCTGGATTTAATAAGGCAGAAGTTGTGAAAATGAGTATCTCCTCCAAATAAAGCAAAACTAACATTTTACTGTCTTCTGACGGTTGAAAATTTATGGTGGCAGCTAAGATATGAATGAAAGTTAAATAGTCCTATTAATTTGATTACTTATTTCCAGAGCCATCAGACATGTGGAAAGTAATATCATGTGGGAAGTGGTGTAAGATTTACACTCGCCTGTGAGAAATCACTGCTCCGTCTATCAGATTTGATAGGTGTCAGAGGGCCCTTTGAAAATTAATAATAAGAGAACTGAATAATAAGAAAGACACGTAACTGTTCAAAACTTTTAAACATTTGAATGAATTCTTGAACTAATTCAAAGCAAAGTTTAAATGGAAGTTTTGACATATATCTGGAATATGGTAGAACTGCTCAGCCAAACGGGTGAATTATCTCACACTCACTGGCATTTGTGAGGGGGGTTTTTAAGGTGCAAAAGATTTTATGGTCATTAAAATTAGAGAAAATATGGTTTGAATTTGTGCCTGTATGCTTTTGTGCTACAGGAGATCTCAACTGGGTCAGGACCCTGCTGTTCAAGCTTTTATAGAGACCCAAGCCATACTGTTATGCATCAACCCTCATAAACAATGGTCCTTCAATTTATTTTATGTTAAAATTTGCTAAACTATTAAATGCAATAAATTCCTCTTGGCCAGGGCAGTGCAATGGGCCTCAGCCGCTGCAGTGGTGGTCACAAAATCATGCTGATGAAGAGCCCATTTCTTGCCTCATGAATGCCAATGACAGAACTCTTCACTGACTTCAGTGGGAGTGCTGTTAAACCCTACAGGAGACTTAAACAGAAGTAACTGTCCTGAATTGGTGAACAGACACTTGTCATGTTTCATCTTTGTGTCTTCTTCTGTTGGGGGAAATCCTTTTCCCAACCAGCCTGGGAAAGTTATATTATGGAAGTTAGCAGAGCAATGTAAAACAAAGCCCTGTTCAGAGCCTGTATTTCCCATGAAACAGCAGCAGTTACTGTGCAGCCTGGCACAGAACAGGTCTGGATTAATCTCTTATTCTTCATTTGAAAGGCTCTGTATTAAAAGACTAAGGTTTAGGATTCTACATCCATTTAATACC